CCCTAAAAATTAATACTGATATCAAAAGGAAAAGGCCATTAAAAAAAGAAATCCCATTTAAAAATAAAACAATTAACAAGTGTTATGTGTTCATACTTTGGATCCCCGCTATGTGTATCCTTATATCCTATCTTAATATTCTGGAAAACCCATCCATCCATCCATCCATCCAACCAACCAACCAACCAACCAACCAACCAACCAACCAACCAACCAACCAACCAACCAACCAACCAACATCTCCCACTTTTATTGTTTTACAAATAACTAAAGGTGGCAAACTTATCCAACACAACATATCCAACACAACATATCCAACAGATATTGCTATGCTGCCTCATCAGGGTAGGGCAGTGTTCCTGGGAGGGATGAGCAAAAATACTGGGGTTGTTCAATAAGAGTATACAGTATACTCAGAAGAATATAAGAAGAAATTAAAGAATCAAAAGTTATGATTTTTTAGTTCTTTGAGTTGCTTCACTCACTATGTTAATAAACATAGAATGTTAAAATTTTCCTACAACTATACAATTAATCTCTGTAAATATTATGCATATGTGCCATTTGCTTTGCCACATATCCAACATTTATAGGACCTTTCTCAGTGATCTTACCTACTTATATAGAGGTGTAATGGCATCTGTGAATCATTTTAAAATATTTTCCCTGATGTTTGCTGATATTAATCATAACATGGAGTTGTTTGTGAGTCCATTGGGGATCAGAAATAATATGTTCTCTGATTTGTCAGCCACTTACTTTCCATTTGTTTGTCCCCCCTTGTCTCTCACATCTCTCAATCTTTTAAGGCTGCCCAAATATGGAATGATTGATTCAAATTATACTAAAAGTAGAAAACAATAAAAAAGATTCCATACATCCAGACAAAAAACTCCATATAGTAGAATACATTAGTAACAACCCAGAGTTCTCACTTGATGCATAAATGACTGATTCAAATTATCATATTTTAGGAATATTGTGCAAAGACTTGTTGAGAAATCTAATGTTGAGGTGGAAAGAGGGAGCCAGTAGCAAGGACTTTATTAAAGTAGCAATGGGTGCACCACTGCAAAAGGACCAGGTTTGGTACAAATGATCCTGGAGAAGCTCTGTTTATGTGGTTGTTACGAGTTGATACCAATTTGATGGCTGATAATCAAACACATTCTACTACAAGAGGTTCTACATGACCACTGCAATTTTGTTAGGATTATATAGATATTGGTATGGGGTAAATGGCAAAATACTGATGTTTATTAAAAGGGTCAAACTCTCTTAAAAGGAAAACTCTCCTCCCCAAATATGGGAATACCACTGCCATTCAGATCATTACTGGAATAAATGGCCAAGTTAACCGATGTGATGTAAGAAGAAACTTCATAGTTTTGAAGAACTTGGCTCAACATTTTACAAGTGTCTGCATTTATTACACACAGTTTAGGCATAATATCTTCATTGTTTCAAATGTTAATGTTCTCCCTTTGCTAACCTTTCAGAGACAAGCCGGCTAAGTGCTTCACTGGTTAATGATGGTACTTTTATGGTATCTTGTAGGACTCCTATCTTTTTTTTCAAACTCTGGGAAAAAAGTAGAAATTAAAAAAAGAAAAGAAAATTTATTATAAGTCAAGACATATATTTTCTGTTTTACATTGATTCTGTGTTGATATTTAGGAAGAGAAATCTTCATGCTTTCACTTCAATGGGAAAAATATTTGTAAAGAATGTTAGGTTATGAATACGCAACACGAATAATGCATGGAATAAAAGTTGAAAGGAAAATCTTACTGTAATCTCTTTATCTGCAGTTCTCAGATCTGTTTGTGTATTTTTCAATTCTTCAGTTGTTTTCTCCAACTCTAGAGCAGTTTTCTGGAGCTATAGATTAAAGACTATGTGGTCAGAAAAACAGAATTCAATGTGGAATAAAATTAAATATAGTTTTACGTATCCCAAAATTACAATAATTGTGCTTAATAAAAGCACATTCCCAAATGCAATGTTTTAAAATTTATCACATAACAGCATCCTCAGAACAGGGCATTAAGGCACATCCTAATTAGGACATGTGCTTCTATTTATTCCACTGAGATGGTGTTATTGTGAATATTTCAGGCCAGTCAGAGCTTAATTAGAGTAGGAAAAGAGCAGCTATATGATAACTTGAAATCACTACTAACAAATAGTTGCTGACCTCTGAAAATGATGTGCTCACTGGCAACATAAGATTTTAATAAACAAAAATTGATTGGCATAAATCACACTTGATGAACAATATGCCAGTATTGGGTGTGTAACATAGTTACATGGACAAACTGATGGATGAAACAGTGACAATTTTAATTAGAAGGGTTCAGCTGAACTTAACTTTCCAGTTAATTAAGTAGTTACCAAATTGACTATGCCATTGGCCAAACAAAATGTATTTAAGTGACAATACAGAGAATGAATTCTAAATAGATGCTCTGCATGCATCTGCAGGAATATTAATGCAACCTTTACCTTATGATTAGCAGAAAACAACTCCTTTCTCAGTTTTTCCACTGTATCATTTGATGCTTTCTGAGATTCCTTAAGATTTTCATACTCCCTGAAAAAGCCACAACTAGTCAGTCAACCTATGGAGTTTGCTTCCAAGAGAGAACTGACAGAATAAAGCCAGTAAACCAATCTGCAATTCATGATTTAAGTGGCTGCAAAAGTTCCTGTTACATATAAACAAGCAGTTTCAATCTTGAATAGGCCAGCATTGATTTGCACAGTGTTAACACACTGACACCACTGCAAAGGTGAGAAAACACACTTTCACAAGGAGCACTGTTAGATTTAGAATAGATATTAAAATGGCAGAAAAGCATATAGGAAAACCCAAAGCAAACAATCTTTACTTATATGCAATGTTTAATACTCTACTGAATTTACACCTCACTGAATTGATATGTAACAAGACTGAAATGATATGTAACTCATTTTGGTTTTTAAAAAAAGTTTAGGTTGTGAAATCATTTCAGCAGTATTATAAAACAGTGCTGAAGCTATTGGTTACAATGTAGATATAGCTCATTATTAAAAGTTGTGATTATCCATTTGCTAATGTTGCTTGCACAAGCTGCAAATTAAACATGGTATAAATAGAAAGACCTCTCACACACCCTGTAGGAACCAGCAAGTACACTGTACTTATTGTGCCACAGCAACGCAAAGTGCTTGGCCCTGCACAGGGGAGATATTCAGAGGCCGTGCCGCATTACTCAGAATCGTTACAATCCTCCATCTCTTCCGTTCCTATCAAACAATTGCCTCCTAAAAAACCTGGCAAACCTCTAAAAGCAGTTTCCATAGCAATGATGTGTCACTAATACAACAATAGTGTGCTTGCTGTGTTGAAAATCCACCATTTATCCCACCTTGGTAGCAGCAGGGCTCATGTTATAGAACAAACTGCCAGTGGGAAAGTGGCTCAAAATTTGTTTATTCATCCAGATCTTTTAATAGCTCCAACATTTAATTTTTATAGTTTTTAAAATGATTTGATTTTTAATAATATTTTTTTTAATTATGAAAACACTATATTTTATAATATTTCTGTAATCCTCCTGGAGCCCTTAAGGGAGCGGACTGCTTTTGCTAAATAAATAATAATAATCTCAACATTATTCTTATTTCTTACTCTCTGTTTCTTTAAAGGGTGCTAAGCAAAATGCCTAAGCCAGGACAGTTTCTAACATACTTTTTTAGTGAGATGCAATAGACTGCAAGCTGTTCCATTGCTGCTTGCCCTGTTCCCATTTCACGGATCATCTTCTCTACTTCGGAACGCTGACTGTGTAACAGTGTCTCAATTCTGGAAAAGAGATAAATAGGATAGGAGTTTTCTGCCTCTGCTAGTCATAGTATAACATAAAAAAAATGAGAATAGCTCATTCTGTATTTCAGAATGGTAGAAGGGCCAACTTGGCCTCAAATATCTACTAGTATATTTTAGCCTTGCAGTATGCAATTTGCACTGCTACTAAATTAGAAGCTTCACACAATGAATAACCAATAATGAGCTCAGTAATCTGGTCATTTCTAAATAGTTTAGGAATAATTCATTTTTTGTTCCTTGTTTACAATCAGTCTATTGGATTGAGAAATATGAACAATACACATAATTTACATGCCATTTCTCATATTTATTGCATACATCCTGAAAAATGAAGGCCCATCAGAACCTTGCAGTACTAGTGTTCTGTCCATTTTATTAGTCTGGACCATTTTCAATCATATCCATGAACAAAAATAGGATGAAGGACTGGGGAAACAGGTAGTACTTGACTTACGACCACAATTGAGCCCAAAATTCTGCTGCTAAGTGAGACATTTGTTAAGTTAATTTTGCTCTATTTTACAACCTTTCTTGACATACTTTTTAAGTGAATCACTGCAAGAGTTAAGTCAGTAATATGGTTGTTAAGTAAATCTGGCTTCCCTATTGACTTTGCTTGTCAGAAGGTCACAAAAGGCAATGACATAAACCTGGGACACTGCAAAAGTCATAAAAACATAAGTCAGTTGCCAAGCATCTGAATTTTGATCATATGACCATGGGCATGCTGCAATGTTGTAAGTGTGAAAAATGGTCCTAAATCACTTTTTTTCAGTGTCATAATTTGAAGGTCACTAAATGAACTGCTGTAACTCGAGGATTACCTGTAAATACATGGCCCTCAAAAAGAAACATTTAATTTAGAAGTACATTTTCTTGCTGGACTAAGATAGGACGGTTTGCCCAACAAATCTAGGAATGATTCAGAATGGCAATGGTGGCATGAGCAATGAAAACTTAGTTAAAAATACATCCTTCATTAAAATCACTGCAATTTTCTGGATCCAGAAAATTCAAGTAATTCTTACCATATTTGCTCAGATATTATTTCAGTATTCAAAAGAGAATAATCTCTTTTGTACATGAGATTGGAATTATATATTTTCTAGAATATTGTCTATAAGATTAAGTTTCTCTAACCTCTCCATAGATTTCACCTTCCTTCGCAATTTTTGAGTTTCTTCTTTTGCACTCTTGGTTTCTTCTTGCTCCTGTTCTAAATATTTCATTTGTTTCTGGAAAAAGAAAAGAAAAGAAATATTAATGTATGGAAAACAGCTTCATAACAGCAACACAGACTTAACATCAATCTATCTCACATGCTTTAGTTTACAATCCACATTTTGGATCCCTGGAAATCAAAGTTTATTGTTCCACATACTGAGTGACTGAGAAAGGCAAAAAAAAAAACCAAAAGAAGTTAATAATACTTCATTGATTATAGAAAAACCTTTGATCATGTCAAGCTATGGAATGTGCTTAGAAAAGTGGTAATCTCAGAGCATTTCATTGTCCTTACATGAAATCAATATAAGTCAGGAAGCCACAGAATGGGCAGAATATTGTGAAAGAGACTGGCTTTAGGCTGGCGAAGGAATGAGACAAGGCTGTATATTCTCCTCTTATATATTCAACCTATATACTGAAAATATATGTTAAGGGAATCTGATTTGGAAGATGAGCATAGCTGTAAAATGAATGAAAACTTATACTATACCGATGACACTAATTTAATAGCCAAAAGTACAAGGGATCTGCAAGTTCTAATAATAAAAGTCAAGGAACATAGACAAAAATGGGATTACCGTATTTTTTGGAGTATAAGACACACATTTTTCCCTCAAAAAAGAGGCTGAAAATCTGAGTGCATCTTATACACTGAATACAGCATTTTTTGCCTCC